ATGTACAACTTAATCGATTTAACCTTGAATAAAAACGGATAATTTACGAAAAATTGTAATAGAAACGTTTCTCAACCTGTAGTTCGCGGATACATTCGTACGTTGAAATTCGTATGCTCAATTGTTTCTGTTGACAAATATACCTCTTAGATTTCTTTTTTTTCCAATAGAATACATCAACTAAATCTTTGTTTATTACTTAATCATACGAAATTTTATGAATCTACAATTATATATAAATTAAAATCGTTTAAACCTTCTTAAAGAAGGTTGATAATATATGACATATAGTAAATGCCATTTCTGTCTAGAATACGCAATAACTCTTAACATTTCTGACATTTTAATATAAAGAAGAAGTTAATTGTATGGAAATTTGTATAAATATTTACTTACGGTTACTAGTCTTCGAATAAATACGTTTGATTTTAGAGACGATTAAGCAATCTGTCGATCGCGGGCGTATTTAAAAAAAGGTTGAAAAATTTCGCAATATTTATGTAAATTTGGATGGATTTTATACAAATAATTTATGAATCTTTTATCAAATATAATGGACAAATGGATAAATGCCTCGTAAAAGCTTACTTATAAAAATATGAGGGAAAAAAGATGTAAACAGATATATATATGATCTATGAAAGGACCTTTAAACTTATATGAAATATTTTAAAGTAAGATAAAAATGCACAAATTTATGAGAATTTTTATAAAAATACTTAGCAAATTTAACAGGAATATTTATAAATTTTCAGGGATTTAAAGTAATATTTATAGCACAGCTTCTATAAGAGTTTATTGTAGAGTCCATAATTACATAAGCTATTTTTATGGTGTATTTATAAAGTTTTAATGCTGTTTAATGCCATGCTACTTCGTCTATTTTCACATGATCCCGAATTTAAAATTGGGATTAGTCCTAAATTCGAAATACTCCTTAAATTCTTTGTCGTTTTTCAATAATCTGCATGTAAATTTTTATAATATTTCCCGGTTTATTTTACATTTTCTCTTGGTTATAATTTATTTTAAATACATCAGTAACGTTTCTGCACCTTAACGAAGTCGTTTTAATTAGATTTACAATTAATAAACCATCAATTTTTCTTTAAAAATACCTGAAAATGCGCCTCAAATTCGAAGCATTCTTTGTCATCACTCGTAAGTCTGTACGTAAGTCTAATGTTTCCAGTTTATTTTATGTTTAACGTTAATTATAATTTACTTTAAAGACTTTATTTATGAGTAAAAACATTAATAGCGTATATTAAACTAGATTTAACCCCAGATAATCCCGTTTTAAAAGTTGAAATGCGGTTTAAATTCAAATCAACATAGAATAACCAAACCTCTGAACGACGGCCACTGACGAGAACACAAAAAAAATTGCCGTTGTTTGGGGTTATTTTGTATGCATTTATGCTGAAATTCGTACAAATATAACCTCCAAAATGGCCGCCGTTTAGAATTGTCCTTTTTAGGAAGGTTATTAATAGTTGTAATAATCCTTTAAATTAAATATATATAAAAAGTTACAAAGAAAAGAAAATAATGCTTAAACACGAATTTATTTCAATATAAACCTACTCTAAAACTTGTAGAAACGGTCGAAAATCTTTAAAAGAAATCAATCAAATTAAAAATAAAATAAAATAATAAAAAATTTTCGATTTTTAACTTCAGAAATCAGATATCAAAACACCGAAATTAAATTCTTTTCCCTCTAAAATTATCAATATTTACTAAGATTTTCAACTTTGTCAGGGTAGTAAACATTGGGCAGATGGTCAGGAACCATTAAAAGTAGCAATAAAAAATATTTTTTTTTTTCGTCAGAGACCCTCACAACACTTAGAGAAGAATTTCTTCTACAAGTTTTCGTTAAAAATTGAACGTTTGTACAGACTCAACGATTATTTATTTATCGCATCAGAAAAAAGTAACTTATATATATATATATAAAGTAAAATAAAGTGCAGATAGGAAACGAATTTCTTTAAAAAAAAATTAAATAAATAAAAAGAAAAAGAAATGAAGAGGGAGAAGAAGAAGCTGCAAAGTAAGCAGCAGATCAAATGAAATCAATGAAGTAAAAATGCTTTGATATCTTTCAGACAGGTTCAATTTCCGAAAATTGAAGACATCCTCTCCATAGAAAACTGTATCTTCACCCTTTATATATTCTTCTTTAACACATTCTCTGCATAGAACAGCGGAAGAGATGATGCCGGATGCTTACAAATCGATTTTCCACCCCCTTCAGTAGTGAATCAGACCAAAGAAAAAAAAGGTCTTGATTTTTTACTTGTTTTTGTGTGCAGTTGTGTAATATTTTACTTAGATTAAACTTTTTCAGGAAGGTTGTTAAGTAAAAATGCTAAAAAAATAAAAATTCTACAGTTTATTGAACAGAAAAACTAAGTTGGAAGGAAGTGACTTAAGAGGAAACTTTTAAGGAAAGTAAATTACTTCTCTTGTTTTATATGCCAGAGAAAAGTTTTGATATAATTTTATATATAAAAATTTTTAAATTTTTATATAAATAATATAAATAATGAACTCGGGGAACTTCAAACGTCCTGAAATGAAGAATAATTTGGGGGGATTTTTCTGTGTGTATGTGGAAGATAGGAATTCGTTCACCAACTTTGAAACTTAATAAACTTCTGTGCCTTTTGTCGAAAATTTCTGAAATTTTGCAGGAAGATTTCTATATTAGGGACATTAATGCGATTAAATTTTGGTGGTTAAAAGTCAAAAGGGTGAGGAGATAGAACGGGTTACGTGTCGTATCTCGAGTGGGGTCGGACGTAATAAAGATTTTACTCGTTATATTAGCACTTACAGTTGTTTATAAAACTCATCTCTACCCTCAAAATTTAACTTTTTGCCGTTTTATAATAATTACTAATATCAAAAAATTTTAAATAAAATTTCCTAACAGATGGAGCCACAAACAATTTTAACTTTTTTTTTTTTTGTCGAGAAAGTTAAGCAAACTCGTTGATGGATTTTTTAAAAAATTGTTTTCATTCGTAATAAAGCGAATACGTCTTTAAGTCGCGCTAAAAGTCTTATAAATAATAAAATAATATTGTTTTTGAACTTAAAGTGAATTTTAAGTTGTAATTTACAGTGATTCTTGATGATAATTTTAATAGTTAATCTTAGATTTGTAATTTATTATCTACATCTCTATATAAATAATGGGAAATTACGTAGAAAGATAGGTGTGAACAATGGACAGTGACGAGGATAGGTAAAATGAGTGTGTCCCACGAGGAATGTATTGACTTGTAGTAATGTATGTCCTGCTAAAAGATAACAGTGATTTCGATATGGATCTGAAATATCTCCATTAATTTTTATTAGATCAAATAAAAGCATTATAACTTATATATATATACGTTAATACTTGCCCAAATTACTGATTTTACTAGATTATTACTTTATAAATACAGTAATTAACAGTAAAACATAACCTCTCTCTGTTTTTCTTTCTTATTCGACCACAAATTTGTATAGAATTTCGAGTATTTACATACAAATTTGTGGTCCACATTCACTAAAAGTAAGATCTGAACCTCCCTAAACATTTACAGGGTCCGAAACCACATCGGTCCTCATTCTAACAGTTAAACTAAGAGGATAAATATTTATTCCAATCTGTTATATTGAAAGTCTAACCACCATTCTACCTGTTGGAGTTCACAATTTTGCTCTAACAACATTCTAATTTTAATTAAATTGCACTATTTTAACAAATTTGTTACAGGTTCAGATCCGATCAAGGTTTTTTTGGCTTGTGACAGGATCCGAACCAGTGACATTTGTCCCTTCTTTGGAATGTAGTTCATACCATTAGGCGTAATTGTATATCGACGTGTGTTAGTTTGGACATTCCTCACTTGATATCATGCATGCCCAGGAACAAACAGAGCTATTTGGTGTTGTATCAGTACAGAGAGTATCTTCAAAATTTAGTTTTTTTTCTTTTTGGAAATGTGTAGTGACTTTATGAATAGCCCCTTCTCAATCCTCTCGACATACATCCATGTTTTGATGTACTGTACAATAATGGGGATGTGTAGAAGTGTGTACAGATCTATCTATCGATTATAAGAATATTTTCAGTAATTACGTCACCGGGTCTATCAAATTATTCCATTACATTTAATAAACATTTAAACTTGTTTACTTTAATAACATATTTACATATTAGCCGTGTTTATCAACGTTTTACTCGAATTAATAAATCTATTAGAGTTATGAATTCTGAAACAAGTTTTAATGGATCTTCAGACAATGTAAATTTATCATTCCTCATTTTTTCCCCAACCTTACCTCCAAAGACTAATTAATCACCACAAGAAGGATTTTTCCACATTATGAGTAGATCAAAATCAATTTATATGAAAAATTTATATATAAAATTTGTAATTTAATTCAATGCAATTTAATTATTCTTACCTTTAACTGCATTTAATTTGCTTCCCATCATCTGCTTGGCCACGAAAGCTGCCATGTTGTTAGTTGCACCTCTTCAATAATTCTAAACAAATGAGCAGCGAGCAGGGATATTCAAAGTCAAATCCGTAAGTTTAATTCTGTAACGGAAAAAAAATTCTAATTACAAAAGAATCATAAAAATTACCTTTTTTTAATTTAAATTACTGAGAAAAAATTCTCTCTGTATCAAAGAAATGTTTTTATCCATCCCCTATGTACTTTAAAATCATTATGTTTATACAACAATGTTTTATGTTGAAATATTTCTCTATTTAGAAATAATGTAGGGATTTTTTACGATTAGGGATAATGTAGGGATATTTCACTATTGGGGTAATGTAGGGGTATTTTACTATTAGAGATAATGTAGGGATATTTCACTATATCGGGATAATGTAGGGATATTTCACTATGTCGGGGTAATGTAGGGATATTTTACTATGTCGGGATAATGTAGGGATATTTCACTATAACGGGATAATGTGGGGATATTTCACGATATAGGGATAATGTAGGGATATTTCACTAATCTTACCTTAAAATAACAATAAAAAACATAATAGTAGTTAAAATAATGTATTATTTTATAATATGTGTCCCTTACATAGGTGTTTTCCCCCTTCCAAATACATTTTATAAGGAGAAATCCCTATCAGCGAAAGAGAAAAATCCCTACAAAGGTCAAAGATTCAGAAAAGCAAGTTTTCAGCCATTTAATGACGTTCTATTATCACTCTGTACAATATTTTTTATATATATAGATAATATACTGTATAAGGTAAGATTGTTAAAATATAATACAATCCTTATTAAACAACTGTATACAGGTATTACTATAAAAGATTGTAAGGAATGTATAGGAATTTGTACAGTGAAATTCTTTATATATAAAAATTACTTTATATTAAAATCTACATAACCCTTTAATAAATTTAGTTTACAATACTTAGTGTTTCAGTATCCCAACAATCGTTCAATGAGTGTTGTATAGGAATATTTCAATAATAATGTCTATCATTCTGTGCACAATCCCTATACATAAAAATGATATAAATTACAGAGATAGGGAGAATGAATTCTCTAATAACCTTTAGAAAAGTCCTTAAACAATAAAAAACATAATAGTAGTTAAAATAATGTATTATTTTATAATATGTGTCCCTTACATAGGTGTTTTCCCCCTTCCAAATACATTTTATAAGAAGAAATCCCTATCAGCGAAAGAGAAAAATCCCTACAAACTTATTAAAGTGGAGGTAGAAGAAATTTATACAGAAAAAAAATAAATTTGAAGAGTGCTAAAGAAAAATTAACATATCTGAGAATTAACTGAATCGAATTTTAATTAAAATTTCATATTTCCTAAAAAATATAAACAATTTTTTAATTATCAATTTAAATTCTTCCCTTATAAGATGATTAAAAGTTAATACAAGAAACAATTTCGAATGGTTTAATTTTGATTGAAATTATTTGCAGGGATTTCCTTATAACAGAAATTTTAAATTTCCCTATAGATATTCATTTACTTCACAGGAATTAGTATTTTTAGATGTAAGGAACAAATTTCCTACATCTAAAAATTCCTGTATAAAACTTACATTGCATAGGATTTTTCCCCCTATACACTAACGGAGGGAAATTTTATATTTATGCTGCTATAAATAGGGAAAAATCTTATAAAATTCTATCTAGTATAGATTATTTGCTATCCACCCATTTCAACGATTAAAAAAAAACTCTTATATAAATCCTTTAATATCTGTAAAATATCTTCTTATATATTTCCTATAAAATCTCTAAATAATTTGAATTATTTAGAGATTTTACCCTACAACATTTTCCTTTTAAAATTATTACTAAATTTATCTTTGCTATTATTAAATTACACGTACGAAAAGAATTTATGGAAATTCTCCCTAACAAGAATAACGAAAATTGATAACATTAAGTGTTAGGGATATCCCCTAACACTTAATGTTAGGGGATATCCCTAATTTTAGGGAAACTTCGCATTGTTCTCGAACCAACCTTAAGAATTCTCTTCCAAACTACCAATAAAGATGCCCTGGAAAGAAAATGTGGCGAGTACCTTCTCAATTTTCCAGTTAAGTAAACATAATTGATTCTCGCTAAATCAAATTCTTAGAGAAGTTTAAGAGAGAAGATAAAAGCGAATAATTAGAATGAAAATTAAAGGCAAATTTCTTTCTAAATGAGAGAAATTTGGGCAAATTTTTAATGGCAAACCGCGGAGAAAATGCAGAAGTTTTAAGTTCTAAACGTGGTGCCCTATAAAGTTATGTTGACCTTCCAGTGCATCGAAGCCAAAGTATCACAGGTCAAAGATTCAGAAGAGCAAGTTTTCAGCCATTTAATGACGTTCTATATCATATTAATGATGCTACAGAGCAAGAAAGAGAGAAAGAAAGATCTAAATTCGATTAATTATGTAATTAAAACCATTTTATAGCTTTAGTAAGATAAATGATAAACGTGCTGAATACAACGTCATGTTTACTAATAACAATTTGTTTAAGCATCTCGTATAATAAATTGTAAATGGTTTCAGCTTCCTCCTGTTGTAATTGTCTGAAATTCGAAATATTGCATGTTTCCTGCAATAAATACCTCAATAATTGGATAAAAATTGGATAGCTTTAACATGATCAGTGGCATAAATCTGAGATCACCTAAATTATAACCGAGTAGAGTAATCGATACGAATAAAACTGGATAAAAGGGACAATTACTAATAGTTTCCGAGTATAATGTTTCATTCGAGGCAAACATTTAGCGAATTGTCTGAAAAAATTCAGGGAAATTTTCCAATGGGACTGAGAAATAAATACCTCTAATACACGAAAAATTAAGAATTAAATATTACATGCTATATGATATAGGGAAATTTCTACGAAACGGTGAAAAAATTACATTATGAAATTAGGGAAATATCCCTCAAAAGTCGAAGATTTGGGGAATATTTTCTTACACCATATCACAATATAAAAACTTCATGGGTATCATCTGCTGCAATAAAAAAGAAATATCCCTCAAAAGTTATGGATTTTTCAGAAAATTTCCCTAGCATATTTTTAGGGAAATTAAGAAATTTAGGAAAACATAAATGTAATTAAGTGTTTTGAGGAAATTAAGAAATATTTGAAGATCTACACTAATACAAATTTTTAAAGAAACCAGCAGAGAAATTTCCCCGAAATTAAAAATCAGGAAAATACCTCAAATTTCAGGAATTTTCATATGTTTTACCCTATAATTGTAATGTTATAAATATTTTATACTAAGCTTTTTCTTTTAATAGAATATGTTTTATTAAAATATCAAATCTTAATAAAAGAAAATAATAATAATATAGCTATTACTGAATTTTCTCTAATTTTAGGAAATATCTTAAAAATAAAAAAGTAATAAACAAGTTCAATAAAGGGAAATATAACAATTTCTTCAGAGAAAAATAAAACGAAATATTAATAAATTTTAAAATAATATGAGAAAACAAAGAATATATCGTTACTTTATTTATTTATCTTTACATTTAAATGTTCTGTTTACTATATTATTTTTCAAGTTTAAAAATTCAAAATAAAATAAAGAAATTTTAAGTGCTAGATAATATAATTTACTGGAAATTTACTTATAAATTTTTTAAACTGAGTCTGTTAAGAGCTTTTAAATGTAAATATTTTAGTTTAATACATTTTCAAGATTACATATAATTTTCTTTTTTTATATTCTATTAAGTAAAAATCAAATTGTTTTATTACATTTATTAATTTTTAAATAAAAATAAACACAAATATAATAATTTTTAAATGTTTTAATTGAAAAAAAAATTATAAATTGTTGAAAGAAATATCAACGATGTCTCTTTTAATTTTTTTTAAATAAAATTTTTTAGTTTTTCGAACAGAATTTTGTTGGAAATAAATCAGAACATTCTTCTGAACGAATAAAAAACATTTTAGTTCATAATTTTCGAACGTATTTTTCATTTTTCGATAAAATTCAATTCAAAACAAATCTCGACATTGTTCTGAATGAGAAAGGAACAATTTATTGCATAATTTTTCACATTTTTTTTCATTTTTGAACAGAAATTATGCGCTGATATTTGAACATAGATCGTTGTTATTAAATATTAAATGCCTTCCAACTTATAATTTTACATAATTTTAAGTTAAAAAGTTTAAATAAAAAATTTAATTATAAAATATAGAAAAAAGTTTATTTAAGTGAAATCTAATACATAATTTTTGAACAGAATCACATAAAAAAGTACAAAATAAGGATAGTAAAATCGACTGAAACGTCATATACTAAAGCTTTGTATCAAAGCTCAATCATTATGCACTAAAGCTTTGTATCAGCGCTCAATTATTATGCACTAAAGCTTTGTATCAACGCTCAATCATTATGCACTAAAGCTTTGTATCAAAGCTCAATCACCATGCACTAAAGCTTTGCAGTAAAGGTCGAACATCATGCACTAAAACTGCAACAAAACTTTGATGCAAAGCTTAAAACTTTATATAAAAATAAAATAAAAATCTTTGTAAAATTTAATTTATTTCGATTATTTATAATAAAAAAAAAAACTATGTTTAAAAAGGAGAAAAAAACTGTTTACAAATATAATTTGGCATCCATCAAGTAAATTTCATTTCTCAAAAGTGAAAACTCTACACTTTTCTTAACTTTACCGGCAAACAAAGAGAAAGAGAAAGAGAAATATTCGAAAGAATATTCTTAAATAAATTTACCAAGAATCATAAAGTTAATTTAATTAAGGAGACGACTTAATAGCATAATCATTTCTGTTAATTATTTTTCTGCAAAGTGTCATGTCGAAAATAAAACCAAAAAATAAATAAATTGCTTAAGAATAAATGTATTAATTAATGTTATTCAATTATGTAAGCTGTTTAGTTAGATATTAAATACATTTAAATAATTATTAATTGATTTTATTAAACGTGATAAGTTGAATTAACAATTCAAATTTTGATTCATATATCTTATAATTAAACTAATTATTTAATAAGATATTTGATATAATTTTAATATTTATATATTTGTT